AGACGCATTTGCGTTGAAATCTCCAACATTACAATGGAAAGAGTGCAAAACACACAACAAAAAAGCAGCGGATATGGTGAGGCGGGGGTCTTCTCCATTGCTGCCCTCTCCCTATGTGATAAGTCTTTGATCCCATTATGATGTCATCGTAAGGGGTTGGTGAAGCCTATAGGCACTGGAAATGATGAACTGGAGGTGAAAGGGAGGAGGGTCGCAATGCAGCAGACAGCAACAACATGATTGGCTGGAGGAGATTGTGGCTAAATCTGATTGGATTAACTGAAAGAGTAAACGACCATAGCTGATTAGAAAGGAGAGTGAGAGAACTGTGAATTATTGAGGCATAATGACATGGTCTTCTTGCTTTTTGTTTATACATCGATCAGCCCCATACCAACAAACTGTGATCCAGTGTGTGTTCTGACACCTTTCTATCAGAACCAGCATTCACTTTTTTTTAGTAATTTGAGCTACAGTAGTTTGTCTGTTGGATTGGACTACATGGGGCAGCCTCCACTTCCCCGGAGCCTCAGTGAGCCTTGGACGCCCGTGACCCTGTCTCCGGTTCACTGGTTTTACTTCCTTGGACCACCTTTGATGGGTACTGACCACTGCAGACTGGGAACACCCCACAAGAGCTGCAGTTTTGGAGATGCTCTGACCCAGTCGTCTAGCCATCACAATTCAGCCCTTGTCAAAGTTGCTCAAATCCTCACGCTGACCATTTCTCCTGCTTCTACTTTCAACTTGAAGACAAAATAGTCACATGCTGCCTAATATATCCCAGTACCTTTTAAAGTGCTATATATATGTTTTTTTTCTTCTGCCCAGTAAAATACAAATGACAAAATAAGTAATTATTTAAGTAATTAATTACATGTTTTAAATAGATTAAATTGAAATACTGCCCATCTCTGAGCTCAATTATATGAACTAAATTATACAAAATGGTATGCTATTGCAAATACAAAATCCTGACTGACTTGGTTCATTATAGTTATTACAGTCTATTCCACATACAGTAAGATTTTTTGACATCTTAAGTATAATGCATTTCCTGAACAAAACCCAGTTTAGCCCTAATTAGGCGTTGCTCTGCATGCTAAAAAGGTTGAGCACTAAATCTCAAGCTCTCATAGGCTTTCTTAAAATATAGTGGTCTTGAAAACCTACCCAATTATTACATGCAGCTTTGGAGTTTGATGGGTTACTAGAAAACTTGTTTATGTCCAAAAAGCATCAGCTAGTTTTTTTTTTGTTAATTAGCCCCAGTGCAATAAAGTATGGTACAGAACTTTCACTACCTACTTTCACATAAAATGGTTAAAGCCAAGTGAAGCAGTGTGTAGGAGTGAGTTGCTGTGAATTTGACTTTGTTATTAGTCCAACTGTGGGTAAATAAAAACTGGAATTAAGCAACATTTGAAAAGGTCCCCCCGAGGAAAGGGCTGTCAGACTTAAACAGGCTTATGCTTAACACTTGGATAGCACATCATTTGACACATTTCATAGAGAACATTTAGACAAGTCCTTAACCTTAGTTTCATTGCTTAGCTTGCCTACAGCCAGGATGACTGCATATGGGGAATTATTTTGAATGAATTACAAATAAGGCAATTTGCAAAACTCGCCACATGAGATGACAAAGCCGAAGACCTTTTATACCCTGGTTAATTAAAATCAGTGGGTTACATTTAAATAAATTACGATTAATTGTAAATTTGACACAATTCCAAAGAGAAAAAATATACATTTTAATCAGACAAATACTAGATTTTGCCTACCTTAATGGCACAATGTTTTTTTAATTGAACTAAAGGCAGAAGTGTTCATCATTAGCAACTTAATTTTCCAAAAAAACATGTTGTATAAGTAGCATGACAGGATCAGATGCTCGTATATTGTACATGTAGATGGTGAGAAAGACCGGTAATAGTATGCATTACTTGATATTTCTTCTAAAAATGTTAATTATAGAAGATAATAACCAATTTATACTACATGTTAATATAATTCTTTTACATCCTGTAACACAACTAACACACAAAAAGGGTGCAGTTGATGTGCTAGTTGGACATCCTTCTTTTGCTTGCAGACAACATGGATGTGGGAGAGGAAAGAAAACAAGTCGGGGAGTAGCAGACAGTGAACAAGACTAAGAAATGAGAGATTGGTGAATGACACAGAGTCTACAAGAACCCCTGTTCTGAACATCGCTGCCCTTGATATCCCCCTCTCCCACCTTGACGTATAACATTGCACAGATGCTGTCCTGAAGTCACTACCAATTTATCCTCTTTTCCCATGCAGAGTAAATCTACTGTCCTGTTAGCCCCCTGTGTCTGACATTAATAATACTAATAATTGTATTTACATAGCAACTAAAACACACAGTGCTTCACATATAGTATAAAATACAAACATAAAAATACAGTATAAATACACAAACACATACTTACATGCATGATATATAGATAAAAACTAAGGCACACTACCGTAACTTGAAATTAATTTGAGCACCACAGCTTTCATTCCTCCTGCTACTCTCTCTCTTCTCCTGTCTGTTATTCCTTCTGCTTTGGATGGTTAAATGATTTGAGAGATTGCTGGCAGTGGCAGTAAAGCATGCTGACAGTGGGAGGCACAAGGGCTCGCATGATAGGTGGGGGCAGCCGATTGCTCTGCTAATGTTACTGTGATGCAGCCGTTTGACAAAGCACCTCAGATATGGGTCTCAACTCCCGACCTGATCAAAACCCAGAGAAATAACCCAACACCTCCAGATGACAAAGGACCAAGCAGCCTCTGTAGGAAGCTGGTTTACCCACTAGAAAAAATCAGGCAGTATTTTTGTATGTATGCAAAATGCATTATGGATTATAATATAATTTGCTATATGATCATAAACATACAAAAACAAGCACTTCCCATGCAATATGGTAAAAACCCCCCACAAATATTCATTTATAGTTCCTGGCAGAACAAAATATTTTAGTAGAGGAATCTGGTATTTTTCTGTCAGAATGAAAGAGAATGATGCATCGATGAAGCCTTTAGGAAATTATTTCTCCCAATGGGACGTTTCACATTGTTTGGACTAAGCTTACACTGATGTGTAATGCAAGGGAATTGGCACAACCTTCTCAAAGGCTCACATTAGGTATACAGCCTTGGTGCATTACATTACAACATTACAAATTTCACTTGGCATCTCAGATCTCAGTGTACCCCACTGGGCCTTGATTGTAGAGCTATAAGATGTGAATTTCAAACAGAGAAATCACAAAATGTGCCAGGCAGGAAGCGGAATGGAATTGTTGTGTTGATTATAAAATCCAAAACAAATGTTACTGGTGATCAAAATTCTCATTTGTTTAATTTCATGCTGTAATAATTTGTGAAAAAGTTAGTTACTGTGTTTTAGTTTTTCATATGAGCTGCATTGAGAAGGCAAAAAAGCCTTTACACACCTGGGACGTGATGATTAAACAACACGGAAATACGGAATACAGGCCTGCAAATATGTCGCATCCAAACTATTCATACCGGCAGCGATATGCAAATTTGTGACTCATTAAAATAGAAAAATAAATCCACACACACTTACCACAGACTAAGCAGGACAGGGACTTGTAAAAAAACAGCTTGCAGATCTTATGGGGGTCTCGGGGGTTTTGGAGGTCACACTGCAGCCCCAAATGGATCATGGATAGAGAGGTCACATTCACCGGGTTCATCTCTGTCCTGGGGCTCCAGTCCGTAATGATGTATTAATACGTTAAAACACCAAAGTCACATTAACAGTTCAGTCAGAGTTTTAAAAATCAATCTAATCGCACCTCTAAAGCTCAGATACAATATTTGTCTGCAATCAATGTAGTCTGTGTTGAAAGATAATATTTGTGCTTCTTGGAAACATATCAAAGAACACATCAGAAACAAAGATAGCTGACTAGAGTCACAAATGAAACATGGAAGAGATTGAAATCCTGCAAGATTACAAGTAACAAAATGCTAGTTGGTTCAAAATGTGTTTCTTTTTTGCTTCAAGGAGTGTGGTAGACAAATAAATTAATTACAGTAAAGGATGCAGACATGACTTGAAGCATTCCAGCAATTGTGGTGTTTAGACCCTGTAATGGTAATTTTTAAGAACTTATACAATCCTTTGACCTGGTCATTGTAAAACCATATATACATATAACCTTTAGCCTTTAGTTTCTAACAACACTCTATGTCCAAGTAAACAGCAGGATGTTGAGCCTTTACTAAGAAGCCCAGGACATTATCATTGCACCCCACTATCTGTCTGTTTACTGTCCCAGAACTAAGGAATGTGTAACTGTGTTAGAGTGACCACTGTTAATGAGCTGGAAGGACGGGGTTTGACTGTCTGAGGTATTTGGGTTAAGTTAGCAAACTCTGATTTAACTATTAGCTATCCCATCTTGCTGTGGAGCCCAGTGATATTATATACCTGCATATTAAAACAATATCTAACTCTTATATATGTAAACAAAGTTGGTGTGTCAAATAATTTTGTTGCAGAGTAACAACATAAATGTGATGATTTATGCATGTGCAGAAGGCATGGTGAGGTGAAAGAAACAATTCAAAATCCACAAATACTTTTTTTTTTCTGATGTTACATAACATATTTGAGAGTCAAAATGTTTTTCAGCATAAGCAGTTTTGTTCAATAATTCAGTGATTCATTGAGTTTATAACAGACAGCAGTTGTTGTCTGTAGTATGAAGTCTTATTCCTATTTGTCTCAGTAACCAGCAGAATGTGTGCAAATACAATCTTAATATTGCAGCAGCTATTTTTTTCAGTTTGTTTCATCAACTGCCAAAAATGGGAAGAATTCCTTTATATTGCCTACTGTACAAAACAAGAAATTCAAGCTTCCAGTGAACTTGAAATTGCAGTACCAAGAATCTGATTGGCTATTTGTTGAGAGTGTGAAAAAAAGGGGATGTGACAAAGGTAGTAAAATAAGGCTCAGAGCAAAATTGACAGTTGATATCTGTGTATCAGAAGCACAGAGTGATTCTCCTCTCAAAGCCAAACTACTGCAGTAGAGTATACAAGGCAGAGCATATGGAGCCTAACAGCAGAGAAACACTGCAGGCAGACTTTGATACATTTGATATTTCTGAAGAGCTTGGATTTCTACTTGAAGAGCCACTGGTAAGTTTCCTCTTTTCTTTTCTAACAGACATTCCCTAACTGTATAGTTCCTTGTGTATTGAAAATAGATCTGAAAAGAATGGAAGATGTCGTAACAAGGCTCTACATACTGAACAGACAGAGACATTTTTGTTTACCTTTGATGAATATTTTCTCTTTATTTATTGCCTTTGTTTAAGTAGTTAGTCAGCAGTCCCTCTGCCCTGAAACAGATTAGTAGATTTGTTTTTGAGGAAGGTTATTGATCCAGTGAAAGTCTATCTCTTCGAGTTTCTATTGAGCCATTCACATGACTGAGCCTGCTCCCTGTCCAGCACTATACATTACACAGTTCATTACTCTTCAAGGAATCACAGATTCTTTTATGTATTAGTAGACATTTGGTAGAAATAAAACAGTACATGTGGTCTCTTACAGTCTCTTATGAAAATGATGGATTTGCAAATGTTGCAAAACTTACATATCAACATTAACGTTATTTAAAAAAATGTAAGCTGAAGAATTAAACATTGGCATTAAGCACAGCCTACTTGTCTGTTTATACAGGGATTTCCCATCTGGGCATCCCCTGTTTTCTGTTTAGCTAAACTTCTCAGTTTTCTACTGCCTCCTTGTTGAAATTGCTTTCTCTCTCTGATTGATAGCCTCACTCATTCCCTGACATGCAGGTCAGGCACCATAGCAAACATGAGCTGATGATGTTACTGATTACACTCTACATGAAAATCCCCCATGCAAAAAAACAATCAAAAATCAATGGGCAAGTCATTTTATTCTTATTATCATCTAGAGTAACCTTCCAGACTATTATCGGGTGTGGATGGACCTGGCAAATAATCTCACACATCTGATAGAATCATGTAAACTACGGGATCTGGTTCATAAGGTGAGAATGAGCAAAGCCTTTTGAATGCAAATAAGTGCAATCAGAGTTGAGAACCCGTGCATGTAAATGTGGACATACATTGTTCACTGTTCCTGAAAATGGTAATATAAAAATAGAAAATCTGATCACAATACAGATGCCGGTCTTGAGTCCCCATCTCTTGAGTAACCATCGGGAGCTCAGGCTGGCCCACCTAGCCCTGGGATTCATCAGCATGGGATATGTATGGCAGGAAGGACAACACGCACCTGCTCAGGTAAAACCCAACAGTGCAATGGAACAAGGGATTGTAAAAAATTATGAAGATGTATATATGTATGCTAGCGTCTCTGTGAGACTGCAGGTTCTGTGTTTGACCATTAACAAAAGTAATGGAAAAAGTTACATTTTGACCTCATGATGGAGTCCCAGGATCACCAAAGTCATTAGGATACATCTAGGGATGGGAATCAAGAACCAGTTCCAGCTGGGAACCAATTCCAAATTGTCCAGTCCAACGGAATTGTATCCTCCGTGCTAATCTATTACTTTTATCGATGCTGGCATGTTTTTCTGACAGCTGCGTAACAATAATGTCAAACTCATGCGTCTACGCTGCTGGAAACTTGCAACAAGAAGGAAACATGGTGAGGGGAAGAAACAGTCCACAGCTTTGCTTCATTTCACGAAAAGAGATGACAACAGTGCCAGCTGTAATGTCTGTAAAATGATTCTGATGATGCCATGTATTTGAAACTCTGCCACTACTTCCCAACCAAGCAGCACGTCTATTACTGAGGGTAAATATCATATGTTATAATAACATTAGCCCCACGGTGAGGCAGCTGTGGCAGATTTTTTCTTTAACTAAGAAAACTTAAATGAAAACAAATACTGTACAAATGTTCTCTCATTTGATCTATTTTAGATGATGGTATAAAGACTGTCATGCATCCTTGCATCCTACTCTGTTTCTGTTCACATCCAAAGATAATACAACAGTTAAAATATTATCAATTCCCATCCCAGATGCTCAGATATTTAACAGGTAAGTGATAACTTGTGACCAACTAGTGGTTCATGAGGAACAGTCAGGGGAATCAACAAATTCAGTAGCATTCATCCTCTGGGCAACAAAATTTCATGACAATTCATATAGTAGTTGTTGAGATATTGCAGTCTGGACCAAAGTGGTGGACTGGCTGAAAGTGGTTGAAAGACAGCCATTGCCAACCCCGGAGACATGCCGCGCTAGCTAAAACTCTCTGAAATCTCAGCAAGGCAGCACTACTGGCCTGAAACTGTACTATTATGGTTGTTTGACAGATTCTCCCCAAATCTTTGGCCTGGCCCTATTGGCTAGTGTCTCGTAGGCTCGGCCTTCCACCCATCCTGACTTATGCAGACTCAGTTTTAGCCAACTGGAAACTGAAGGATCCAACAGGGTGAGTAATGTTGTTGTTTTTTTACCTTATTTGATGTCCATTATCCACATACTGTCCTTTATTATAATAGTAAACAATACAATAAAAATGTACAGTATGTCTAAACTCACCCACATAAAAAAGTATTTCTTTCACCAATGAAAACACTTGTCTCTCTTTTCTTTCATTTTCATTTTAGGGATATGGAAATTGAGTGAGTAGAACAAGTTATTCACTCACGTCTCATTTGCACTTTCACATGATTTTTGCAGTCACACAGTCATGTGATGTCCAGCTCATATAGTTTTAAAACATTACTTTCTTTCGAAAATAGGAACATGGACTTGATATTTTCCTTTCCTGGTGGTGAGAGTTGCAGGGGATTTTTCATAGTGTCATTGTTGGTCGAGATGGCTGCCAGTTCAGGCATAACGGTTAGTATTGGCCGCTCTTCCTCTTTTTCATGTTAACTCTTTCTGAACCTCAGCCTGATGATGCTGTCTGTCCATCTTCCTTTTCTTGTGTCCCATCCACATACTGTGTGTGTCCAGGGGGCTCTGGAGGTGATGCGTGCTATGAAAATCTTGGACCTCATCGGCATACAAAAAGGTCTCGCCAAAGTAACTCAGTCTTTGAAGAAGATGAAGGAAACTTTCAAACTCATGCATAGTAAGTTTGAATTAAACCTAGCCCAATCTGAATGTAATCAATTTACATGCTGAGCCTTTTATGAAAGCAGGGAAATTCAAAGTAATTAAAATAACTGAATTTGTTCTCTTTCCAGATCATGTGGATCCAACTGCGTTTCATGGAACATTGAGAATTTTTGTTTCAGGGTGAGTTTTCCTGCATACTGAAGGTATTAATTATTTTAATAAAACAGAAGGGACGAAATTCCCTTCTGTTTTTACTTACTTACTTTTCTGCTGCCCTGTAGGTCTAACTGGATAACATGTAGAATGATACCATGTATTTCTGTGTATCTGTGGTTGTTTATGGTTTTCTTAAATCATCCAAGATGGCGCCGTGGATGGCTGCCTTGGTACTGCGCTCTCTGGTACTTTTTTATGTTAGTGTTTATTCGTTTAGTTTGCCTGTAAATAATTTATTCTTCCTATAAATTATATATTATCATTGTTTAAATACACAGTTTAAATCTATGCCTGCTATACATGCTGTATATACTGTTATGTTCCCTAACTTCATGTAGGCTATGTAAAGTAACCTACTAGATAAAAAAAATATTTTTGCACTCTCCACCATTGCACTATTGATTGGAGTCAAATTCCTTGTATGTGTACACATACCTGGCCAATAAATGATTCTGATTATAGTACATGTATGTATGTGATGTTTTAGGTGGCGAGACAACCCCATGCTTCCAAGGGGGCTGCTGTATGAAGGTGTGAGCAATGAGCCAATTTTGTTATCAGGTGGAAGTGCAGCCCAGAGTTCAGCCATTCAGTGCTTTGATGCTTTGCTGTGCATCCAGCATGAGGATGAGACAGGTAAAGATACATTTCCTTCAACCTTTGACCCCCTCAGATGCTTCCCAAGAATGAATCACGCTGTTTGTGCAGTAGGTTGATTGCTCTGACAGAAAATGTCTCCAGGAAAGGTTGTTATTTCCTTTCTTTCAAAGTCTCTTTTCTGTTCTCTTCATTGATTCACCCTATCTAGGAGCCTTCCTGACACGCATGAGGGATTACATGCCTCCTGCCCACCGTCAGCTGATAGAAACTCTGTCTGTCTGTCCATCTCTGCGAGACTTCATCCTGTCCCAAGCCAGCTCTGATCTTTGCCAAGCCTACAACTCCTGTGTCTCAGCACTGGTGGATTTACGGAACTACCACCTCAATACTGTGACCAAGTATGTCATTGTACCTGGTAATCAAGCTCGCGCCATGGGCTGCCCGCTCAGAGGTGTGGGCACTGCGCTGAACAAAACAGGGACTGGCGGATCCAGCATAATGGTCTTCCTCAAGAGTGTTCGTAACACCACCCAAAAACCACTGATTTTAGAAAAGCCATTTGCGTCAAGAGAACCAGAAGCTGTACATGTTATCCAGAACCAGAAATGGCAATGAAACGCTCAATTTCTGATTAAATTAGAGGAACTCTAGGGGACCTTTTTTCCCCTGATGTTTTTAGCTGACAATAACCACTGCCATACTTCGCAAGCCCATTTCTGCCAGGGTAAAAAAATTAAAAGTTGACTTACTATTTCAAACAAAAAGTCAAAAATTTTCAAATATGTCTTCCATACTACACAGTCCTTGACATCCCTAAATTAACTGCACTTTACTATGACTTTATATAATTCTGTGAAATGATTGTAAAAAAACCTTTACAGACCATGCTACAGAGATTGTCTATGTTCAGTATTGCATTTTATTTATTCTGGTTATATATGTACCCCAAACTACATCTGTACACCCTTGAATTTTAGTATTATTTTTGAGATAAATGACTTCAATAACATTTTGAAAATATTTTATTCAGTATTGATAAATAAATATTCTTATCTTATGTAAATATTCTTATCTATTACTATAACAATGCCTGATCATGTGGTTTTTTAACCTGTTTCAAAACCATTTGTAATAACAAAAAATACACATATACATATAATGATACGAATAGTGCCAACAATGGAAGAAAAGCATTTTTCTAAAGTGCATTTGATCAATAAACTAATTTGGCTTTTGTAAACAGAAACTGAAAATGGGAACTCCTACGTGCCTGAGAGTAAGAAGCAGATGGCAGAGGAGGAAGATAAATGTAGAGAGAATCATGAGCTGTGGAAAAAACAGAGGAAGGAAATGCTGAAGGAATCAAATGATAGAGGACATTAGTAAAATAAAAGAGAAAGAGAATCTGCTGAGGAGAATGTAAGACAGACACAGTGGGGGTAATCAGGGCAGAGGGATGGAAGTGTGGGATCAGGTCACTCAGTTTGATGGACTCGAACCCCCACTCGCCTCCTGGTCTTGACTTGAAGGTTGCGTCTCTTCTTGCCATAGAGGACTAATCACATTAGAAAATAGAAGAAGGGGCTCAACTGCACTACTGCTGAGCCCTGGTCATGGTCCAACTCTGCTTCACTAAAGCACAAAAGATGTCAAATGTGGACTGTTTGACACCGGGTGAATGCCGCTCTGGCTGTGACTACACCCAGTGCTGGTGTAGTTGTCTGCTGTCACATAGAGTTGGGAAGTGGGAGGGTTTGCTGGCTCTGGAAGTGTTTTATGGCATTCTGTGTTCCCATTTTACTTCTCTCTTTCAACGATATCCTCTATGTTTCTAAAACAGAAACACAGGACTCTGGGTAATATAGCTACCACAGAAGCTTTTGTTGTGGCCACAGGTTCCTGATAAATCATGTTTTATCCAATACTACAATACCCATCAGCTGCCACTATAGAAGAGCAGGGGAGAATTAAAAATGCTTTGTTGCAGGTGTTAACAAAAGCAGTTGTTGAATTCAATCATTATTGACACAAAAATTAAAAGTGAAACTGCATTTAGTGCGTGATTGAGCCGTGATCGAATAGTTCTTACTGAAATGCACCTGTAGTCAAAGGTAAAAGAAAGATATTTTCTAAGGCGGTTGTTAGCTTTTGAACTGATGATTCAACTGGAAGAGTTTAATGCTGATCAAAGCTGTAGAAGTGTTCCGACTGTGAGTCAATTAACATTGTCTATGGGAGAAATTCTACTTCTAGAACCAGGAGTTCCCAAAATAGCTCTTTGCACTTTGCAACTCTATTGCCTCTAGCATTCAGTAGACATAGCAGCACACTGAATCACCTTCAGTTGAAAATGTTTTAATTGTGATGTAGAAACAGTAGAAAAATGCATAATATTGCACATAATCACTAAATTGCACTTTCTCAAGGTACAGATCTTTGCATGGACATTGGTGACCTGAATCATGTAATCTACTGCGTACTCTAAGGATGGGAGGCCAGTTTTTGTCTTCCTGACGTTTCTTTGATATTTAACAGTACCATAATCTACATAAGAGCTGCTGTTATAAAATGACTTTAAGAACTCAGTAAATACCTGCTTTGTAACAGCGTGCAAGTTCAGTATCATTGCTACATCATCAGTGTTTTTGTTGTTTTGTACTTAACCAAAGCTGGTGGCTACAAGTCTTCTCTGCTGTGAGATTGCTACCATACTCCTTTAGCACTGTATATAGCCCTTCTATTCTTGCAAGTTCAGTGCACAGTTGTTTGTGTGGGTTGGTAGACAGATGTTTGGTGTTCTGTAATTGTCTTCTGTGAAAAAAGTCATCATTTTACAAGATGAAACTTGCAGTGGCAAGATAAATCAATATTTCAACACTTCAAGTGGTGGCTAACTGGACATGAAACAACTGACTTAAAAATAGATTAAGTTCACATCAGAGCTTTGCTGTGACACAATGAGTGACTGAGAGGCAAGGCAAACTCTTAATGGACTCAAAGAGAAATGTCAAAATAGCCTTTACTTTTTGTTGGAAATACCCCCCCCCCACACACCCCCCAGACACACACACCTCCCCCCAAACAAACACTGTTTAAGTTATCGTAGAAAATATACTGCCTTAGAAGTAGTCAAAACATTATATATGTTGTTAAAAAAATCAGACCTAACCCAGAAGACTTTTTTTCTGCATTTTCAATTATACCTGCTTCAAGAGGAGGGGCCCAAACATATATCCTTTAAAATTTCATTTCACAGTACTTTGCTAAAAAGATGCAGATATTCTAAAATATAGATTCTGAACATTATGTGTCAGTGTAGCCAACAGAGAAGGACAGAATGACTGAGGCAAAGTTGGCTGGCTAGTCGGTTGGTTGCACAGTGGGCTAAATGGAGAGATAGACAGAAAGACAGAGAGAGATAAAGGGACAGAGTTACAAAGAGAGGGAGGAGACAGGGGTTATTAACAAAGGCAGGCAGACGTTCAGTCAGACAGACAAACTGAGCGGGACGTTAACAGATAAGGAGGAAGAGGAGAGAAGGGTTATAAGAACAGTGCTGACATACTGCCATGTACTGTACTGTGTTTCAGTCTTTTACGCATATTCCTCTCAATAGTCAAATGTTTGTGCTTTGCTGGAGGTGGGGCTGATGTCCATTCAGAGATTATAGCTTCAGTCATAAAAGGCCCTCCACATGGCGCCTCCTCTTGTTGCCAAGCAATATGCTCTAAGGGGAAAAAGACCAAAAGACCATTGCATTGGAGGATACAACAAAAAGACATAAATATAAAGTGAGGGGTGCATTTACCCAGTATATAAATAACATCCATCTTTTTACAGCTTTAAAAATACATGTACAAAAATGCATCCCAAGCTCACCTAGTTGTTGCAGCTGTATGTCGATCCTCTTCAGCAAACATGCCAGAAAAAGGTTTGACAGAATTTTAAATGTTTTTGTCTCTGCTGTCCCCCAGCTGACTTAATGTGCAGTCTCAACTCAGAACCCCAAATGATCCGGATTCTGTCGTTATCCATACTCCTTCATCCATTTTGCGAATAACAGGGGTATTAATGTGCCCAATGAAAAGGCTGTTTCCAAAGCCCTCATGTTTTATTCAAAGGAACCAGAGTTTCCAACGAGCATGCTTTTTGGACTCTGTTTTGGACTTGCGTTTTGGGGTGGATGTGAACACTTCATTGGAGTAAGGCAGAGCAGGGCATTGTTGGCCATCCAGCGGGCATAGTCTCTTCATCAGGGGATGTAGCTTGTCCTCTTGCAGCTTGAAGTCCAGTTCGACACTATAAGACAAGTTTAAGAAGTAGAATTTTAGAATATTTAGATTATTAAGTTCAGTACTGTACTTAGAATACAATGATTTGATTATAGATTCAGGTGCATTCATCTGAAGGTTTTTAAAGTTGTCTTTTTGGTGGCTATAACATTTATGACTCAATATTTGACTTAGCTTTTATGTTAATAATCCACCAATGTCCAGATGGAGGCAGGGAGGGAAGCAAATGGTTCAAATGCACTAACAGACACCCTGGCAGCACATATCTCTTGCAACACATATCCACATTTCAGAGACTCCTCCGAGTAATAGAGTTCCTTTGCATCATTTCTGCATTTTTTATACATGCAGTCAAAGGGCTTTTCCTGCATAGATTATATTTGTATCAAAAATGAGCCAGAATGTGGGTTGCTCCTGACATCAGACGTCCACATCCGCCAGTATAATCCCAGGCTGGTCATCGTCTGATTTTGTTCCGCCACCGTAGTTGAACTCTCTCTCCGATTAAATCTCTCTGGGAGAAACGTGGGGCTTAATCCCATCCAAATGAAACCATCGAGAGGCCAAGCAGACCCTGATTAACTGCCTGTATTCAAGCAAGGGATAAATGCATTATTATACACCATCTCCTTTCACTTTATTGCTATTGATTTGCAGTGCTCTGTTAATGTATTTATTCCTGGGGTGCGCAATAAATTTTGAAAGCATCATAGTGGAAATAAAAGAGAATGAATCATCTGCTATTTTCCTGCCAAAGTGAAACTCTTCAACAAACCATACCTGATAATAAAACGTTCTGTTGATTTTTGGTTTGGAGCATTTTTGATTTTTTTATTATCACCAACATTACTTAACACTCTGGATTTAAAAAGCACAGTGCATACTACGACTTACAAAGCTCATGTCATTCTAAGTCTAGAGGATTAAAGGTAGAAGGGAGAGCTGAAGCTGCCAAAAGAGATGACATCTGGCATGTCAAGGTCAAACATGTAGTCCTCTCTTTGTCTGCAGGCTCACAAATAGACGTTAAGGTACAAAGCTTTGCCTGATGGGGTAACTGCTTTGATGGGCAGTGTAATTAGTTTGCTGAAGGATATGCTATACTCAAAGTGACATAATGAATCCTGGGAACTGTCATCACCCTTAAGATAAGTGTCAGTTAAGAAAGGAGCTCTATTAAAGCCTTCAGGGGAGAAACCGAATGGACGGCTGGATGGCAGTTTTCTAGGCTGGGACTTCCAATGAATCAATATGTTTGATTAAATAAAAAGTCTTAAATTTACAGGAGCCTGGGCGTGTGGCTACTTCAAACTCAACATCATTATTGATTTAAAAAGGGATTTATAAGCATGTTTGTGTCAAATCAAAACCTCTTGTTGCACAGGACTTTGCCTGCTAATGTCCTCTTAATGCTGAATCCTGGACCGAGAGAAACTCTTTTTTTATGGACAGACTCAAGTCTTGCCAGAATGGCTGTTTCTAGCATTATGTGGTGCACTTGCTTTACAATCTCAATCTCTTGTTCATATCTATTGTTTAATTTGCTTTTCTCTATATTTGTATCTTTTGTTTAATGCTAAAATCGTTGTCTTTTACAACTGTTGTACAAAAAATGTTGAGTTGACAGAAAGTGGAGCAGAATCACAGCAGCACAACACAACACAGAATAGCCTCAGCAATTAATAAGCAATTAATCACTTGGCAGATCACTGCAATTACTGTACGCTGTGGACAAATGCCTCAGTGGGAAGCCAGAGGCAGCACTGTACGATGCGGGTGGCACTGGGGAGCAGGTGCTTCAGCAAACAAAAGCCCTATATCTAAGATCATCTCTGTACACAAACAGATGAAGCGACTGGAGACAGGCAGGCTTTTCTAGGGCATTCAGCAAAACAGATTAATCATCTCTTTAGCTATGCAGTGTGAGTAGCTGTTGCTGTGATCAGTGGCGAGCCGTTTGTTTGTCTGTGGTCGTGGTGTGCTGAGCACCATTCAATGATTGTTGCTCCTGGGAGGGATTTTGCAGCCTGTGAGATGTCTTTTTAGCACATCATACCCTATTCATTCCACAGTGTATACCCACTTGCTACTATTCTCTGTTCTTGCTGCTACTGGCACCTTTCAGCGTTAAGTCATTCCTCCTCCCGTGATTTCCCCTTTGGCCATCCACATGTAGTTCAAACTCTCCACTTGACAAGATGAGTGGTTCAGGCCCAGTACAGTGTAACATCTACAGAACTACACGACGGGGCATAGTAGATTAAATCACCAGAGAGTGACAGTTATTTCCTCCACTGACAGGCAACAGTTGAAGCAGAAACTCCCCACAGGTTATGTAAATCAGATGCAGAAATTCTTCCCCTGTCATGTATATCAGATATAAAAGCCATTGCCATCTATTACATGGCTCTCTGCCTCACAGACACACAGAGAAAAACCCAATCTCATTAATGAGAACAAAACAGAATAGGCAATCTTGACAATTGTCACCAAAACAACCACAGCTCTGCCATCTCAGCATGGGACACAAGTGCTAATTAGCTCCTTGCGTCTCATCACATTGCATTGCAGTTGCAGTTCCCTGAACTTAACTGTTTTTTAAAGTCATTGTTAGTTCCAAATTGGAAACACTACACTGTATGCTTTGATTCAAATGCTGGTTCTTATTCAACACAGCATGGTAGGAATACAATCCTTTAATGCTTTGATCTGAGAGTGTTTTTTAAATTGGGCTTCCTCCTATAATCTAGGTTGACTCAGTGGTAGACAACTGATGCTCTTGTAAATCTTGTTTGAACTATACATGTAAGTACAGCAAGAAAATAAAAAGCAGGAGGTCTCACCATGCTGTCTCCTTCTTTGAGTTGAATGTTTTGGTTTTTTTAAAAGGTTAGTTCGCCTAAATAATAATAATAATAACAATAATAATAGCAATTTTCCATTCCAATGCAATAAAGGTGAATGGAATTTGTTCATACCACTGAAAACTGAAAACAGCAACGCGCCTTTCCAGAAACAGCCTCTCGGTTATGGCCTGGTCCCACCAGAAAGTGACAAGTTAATCTGTGTGTACTTCAGGTTCCAGAAGTAAAAGTTCAATTCATTTTTACCATAGAGAACTTTACGTGGCTTACAGTTGGAGCACTTCTGATGCTTGTATGGACATGAAACACTCATCAGTAAGTCATTACTGCAAACGATTAAGAACTCTGTTTGAAAATATCTGGTTCTTTGATTAAATTCAAAGACACCACCCTGTGTACATAAAGTACAAAACTAAAAACACAATCTGCAACTTTGATCAATTCACTTAATTAAGCAACTGTGGTGACTGTGTTTGTTATGTAAGTTTTCAATTCTATAGGTTTGTTACATCTTCATCAGAAGTAAAATGAAGATATTGTGTAAAGGTCCACTGTGTAGGATTTAGTGGCATCTAGCGGTGTATTTCTTCTTGTAGATTGCAACTCCCTTGTTTCACCCTCTCTTTCCAAGTGCAAAGGAGAAACAATGGTCATCACGAAATACGTGAAAAAGCATACTGCCCGTTCTAGAGCCAGTGTTTGGTTTGTCAGTTCTGGGCTACTATAGAAACATGGCGGTTCTATAAAACATAACAATTCAGATGATTATACATGAAAGAAAACATAGTTATGCACATTATATTCTATTTCTCATTCCACCCAAATGTTACACACAGGACCTTTGAATGGGATTACAGGATTGCGAAAAACACTTCAAGAACCAGTGTCTCCTTCCACTTCGCAACTGTATTTTATTGGGGTAACGGCAAAGATCACAGAGGTGGATCTCTCAAAACGTGGGCAGATAAACCCAAACGTGTCTGCGATGCTATACCACTAGAGGCAGGTTAGGTTTTCCCTTGATGTAACGGACAGTATCTTTATAGTTATTCCCATAATTTATCGTCCATATTCAGCCACTCTTTCCCTCTCTCTTGCCATATGTATGCCCTATTTGTTGCAGTGATGTATGAGATGCTGCAGTATACTGAGGGTGGAGAGTCAGGGGAGAGTTGAAGTCTGGATAAGACCCAAAGATTGACTACCTGAGGTCAGCAGGTGCTACAGTCCTGAATTTATCGGACATACTGGAGATGCTGGAGTGCTCTGAAATTAAGGGTTACATCTCAGGGGCTGCTAATCTTGGTTACAGTTGCACCATGCAGTTTCTGTCTGAATTTGAGGTGTCCTCTGGCTCCAATTTGCTTTTTTTTGGTTTGTTCTTGGCTTGTTTAAATTTACCTCACTGTACACAGGCCTCCTCATCTAGGTGTCACACAGAGTGGTTGGTCCAGCAAGGTGATTACTGCTACTCTATCAGCAGTTTAACTCACTGGATTGATAGACTGTTGTAATAAAAAGGATGCTGTTGATGGGATCATACAGCAGCTTAGTGAGTGACTGTAAAAGAAGTACACCTGAAATAAAAAGCTGATATAAACAATAAATAGTAAATATAAGTCAGTCTTGGAAGGTGAAGCTGGATTTTGGAGAAGAATATTAAACAGCACTGTTTGCAGAATTTAATATATTTATGACAATTGCTTTGGCAGAGATAGATAGGATTGTGATAGATTACTACCCTGCTTGCCAACTACAGCTCTGCTTTATTCAACGACTGTTAAAAACCAGTTGGGTGAACTGAAATAAACAACTAATGATACAGATCACAGATGAAATGATAATCTCCCACTTTATTAGTACTTTGCAGAGTGCATCTTCATTGTGATTCTTTTACCATACCACGTGCTTTGGTTTAGTGACAACAGATTGAAGTCACTTTTTGCCACCAGAAATTGTTCAGAGTTTGTTAATTAAGCCAAGTTGCTTCACTGACACAAGGAGTTGGCACACTTTGTCTTATTAAGATAAAATCAGTGAGACGAAAAAAGAGAAACTCAGATATAGGCTTTAGGACTTTTCTTTGCTCCTCTATGCAGTGGACTTCTTGCGTCAGTCTTACAAATTATGTTGCTGTTACATCTTGTTAGATGGAACCTAAATGTACTGCATTGCCCCATTTATCAGCTGTAAGAAATAAGTAAACTATAAGTGCAGTCACAAGACACAAATAATAGCTTTTAGAGGCTCATATGACAATTTATTTACATAGTTCTCACATATCCACTCTGCGTAAACCCCCAGATTGAAAGCCACACTTACTTATAGTAATGACTAAACCCATGAAAACAAATCAATGAAAAGGCCTTGTTGATCAATAGGGACACAAATCGAAACCCACACCGGCACACTGCAGTATTCTGGTTGTTACACAAGAGAGCACCTAGAGTATATTATTTGTGATCCTTGCATTCATGATTCATGGAAATTATGATCATGTAGAAATTAATGAAAGATATTTATTTGGAGCCCATCGGTGTGCATACTTTTTCTCCTCTGAGCCCTGCAGTGATATTTTTTTAAATATTTTTGCTTGAATGTGGACACACTTGGTCCCTCTTGTCATGTAGAAATTATAATCATGTACTGTAGAATTATCGTTTATTTTCTGACAGTGGGAAATGTAACTAAATTATTTTATGTCTGTTCTGGTCTAATTTTCTAATTTGCTTCACATACCCAGGGGATCGTGAATTATTTACCATTCAATATTGTTGCGACAGCACCAATTTTCAGGAAGGGTTTACTAAATTCATTACCCTGTTTATGACTTTTGTTAGTATGGAAATTATTTCTTTAACTGGAAGATGGGGACTGTTCATTACTTTGTCTACAATGTAACCTAATCTTTGCAGCACCACGTGATCTCATTTTCTACATGCCTGTATTCTTTAAGGGCAAGAAATTACATTTAAACAGTGGGTAGAGCTCACGACCCATGTACCAAGGCTAAGTCCTTGCTGCAGCGGCCCAGGGTTCGAATCCGACCTGCGGCCCCTTGCTGCGTGTCATCCCCTCTCTCTGCCCCCCTTTCCTGTATATCTTCAGCTGTCACTATAATAAAGGCAATAAGAAGCCCCAAAAAATATACTTTAAAAAAAAAAAAACAACTAATTATATCGTAAGTTTTACAAAGGTTTGTGAACAGTTCATTACAATAACTGAGACAAGTGTGAACAAAAGCAAAATAATATTTTTTTTACACTTATCACAGAAAGTGCATTGCAGTGTTCTTTATGTGATCATTAGACACTTCAGTGATTTGTAGTTAAAATTGAACTTGCTATCAAAGATCACTGCCAAATTCTTAGCTATAGATTAGTACTGAAATATTTAAACAGATTTTTTTTGGCCTGTGTCAAAACCAAAATCTATGTTTTGTCCTTATTTAGCTGAAGAAAATGTTGCCCCGTTCAATTATTAATTTCTGAAATGCTATTTATAAGATTGTCAACCAGACTCAAGTTGTCTTGTGAGATACAGAGCAGTGTGTCATCTGTGTAGGAAAGGAAACTGATCCTACATTGGCAGCATATACTAACAGAAAAATATGGGGCCCAAGACTGAACCTTGGGGAACACCACAAGAAATATTTTATTGCTGAAACAAAATTGTATACTATAGATTAATGAGTCATTAACTGTACCTGAGAGATTAGGCTAAGCTGTACCAAATGCAGCACTGAGAGTGCCATTATAGATGTTTTTCATGTATCTGAAGCTATTCTGATGTTTTTTAATGCTTTGAGGAGAGCTGGCTTTAGATGAGAGCTGTCTCACTTCTGTCCTCTTCAATTTTCTGGCTCAGTGATGTCCTCAGGACTAAAATTTGTAGAAAATTAAGCATTTGTAAAACTGGTGCAGGAAAGAACATGACTATGCAGATAATATTTGTTTTTAATATGAACAGCTGGACAAGACAATTCCTCTCCTATCACCAACCTTGGCCTTTTTTACTTTGACATCGGAGAAGAACAGCAGAATGTAGTTTTGTGGTTATAGGAGAACAGCTTTGTCCATATGTTTTAATAACATAATTTAGTCTCAGATATGCACAACAAGTGTACACAGATTGTTAGACAATATTTGAACAATCCTTTTTAGTTAGATTAAACACCTTTTTTCTCTCAAAGCTGAATTTTTTTTTACTGCTGACACCCAATGTCTCTGGTAGCAGAATAAAGACCAATCATTTGGTGTTGCTGATGTTTGTTTTGCCTTACTTAGGAGTGTCGAGTCAGATTTTCTTGCTGAGGACTGGTGATCTCCTTTTTGCCTTAGTGTTGATAGTTGTTGAACCTTATTCTTTGATGGCAACTCAGGCACATTCTGTAAAGGCTTAAATCTGTTTTCTAGTTTTATTGACTGCAGTCCAGCTGTTCTCTGTTTTGCTATGGTGTGGAGGAGTGAGAGTGGCTGTCGCTTTGCAGCACTCTGTCTCTGTTATCTTGTTGTGTTTTTGGAGAGATGTCGATGGAGGAAAGCCTTTTGTTTCTATTTGTGCTTCTAGACCAACATCAGACCACAGCTCCTGTTTCGATGCACCAGCAGTAGTATTCAACTTAAACAATAGTAATAGGCAAGATAGCGGCTCATGTCTGGGTCAGTTGTGGTGTTCATATCCAGTAGGTCTTGATTAGTGTGCTGCACAGATCAGTGATTATGTCATCAAAACCCCCAAAGTGAGGTGCATTGTGTTGGTAAGTTCAGTCCATCTTCCATTGCTACTCCATCCACGACACGATCCATGACAGTCAGACAGAAATCAGTGGGCTTCACACAAGAACATTTTCTTATTCTTAATCTCTTTTACTCTTTTTCTGAGGCTTGCTTGAACAAGCGTTCCAAATTTTAAGTGATGAATGCCACTTAAGTAGGTGGCCGTTCATCATTTGATTATTTGCACAATCAAAGAATTTTAAGTCCTGTCAGACAGCAGAAGACAACAAAAAGCACATTTTGGAGAAACAAACAATGAGAAAATATTACTACAGCCGTCATTGTTGTGTCATGTGAGCAAGCTGCATTGACAGAAATGAAGAAAAGTTTGATGTGAATTTATATGACAAAAAAATAACTTGGTAGAGCAATGCAGTCCATGGGGGCGATCAAGGGGACGTGACAGATGGACGAGAGAATGCATTTCATTATAAGTGATGTTATACTGTCGGGTGCAACAGACACAGCAACTTTCACAAAACCCTGAGGTGGCTTTTGGAGTGTGAGAATTTTCTTTTCTATATATCACATTAGCTGCTATTTCATTGTTTGTTTAATATGTTTAAACTCAAAACTCATTCAGATTAAGGCATTATAATATCTAGGTCAAATATGTCCCCCCCCCTCCCCCGTGGCAGTACATGATTTGTATGACACGCCACTTCTATTTGTGCCTAAGAGAAAATTGTTAATAGGTATAACATTGGTGAATGCAACTTTGTTTATTCAAGTGGTTCTTGTGGGAGGCATGAGGATTTCTCACGCCCCTGTATCTGATATGAAATGGAGATCTTGTTCCACAATGGTTTTACACCACAATCTGGGTCACCTTAACATAACACACTCGTCAAGGAACAGAACAGAGGAGGCATCTTGAAAATGTTATATGAAATGAAAACCCTTTTCCAGGACAGGGCAGCTTTTCTTTTCTTTCCAGGAAAAAAAAAAAACCAAATTAGTTATAATTATAATAATAGAATATTCAAGGTGTTGTAAATATATGAGATTCATCCAAAATAATTCAAAAGGACAGTAGAGCAGACAGCCCTTGTTATCTTACTGTTAAAAAACATTCTCTATTATAGTGCAGTAGCTTTCATGCACAAAGGGAAGTATAAAGGAGAAGTTGGGTAGAAAAAATCCATGTAGTGCAGAAAAAATTCCATATTCAGGAAGGACTCAACGTTTACATCTATAATTTGTGATTTTGTGTTTTATTAAGGTTGTTTCCCACCGGCCCATGTGAAAACTACTCAGAAAGCCGCTATACAATGTATATTTTCTAGGTTTGAGAGTATTTTCCAAACACATGCCTGTTTCCTGTTTTATAAAACAAGGGTTCAGCAGTAGAGGATTTTGGATTGAAGTGACAAATGACACAAGGTTACAGCTTGAGTTGATTTCCCACCTGCTTCTGAGCCCCTTTTCAGCTCAGAGCATATCAGAACAGTTACAGCACAAAAAACTGTTGTGCAGAAATAGTGTCTCTTAAAAATGGCTTCAGTACAATGCTTGTTAGTATTTCTGAGACTGTATAGAGCTAATCCAGCCTTTGTTTATAAAACCTTTTATGTAATGTGATAGAATTCTAGGTCCTCAAACACTTTGTGACAGGGTCAACTGTATTTCCTATTCTGTCTAATTTACTTCCCACTGCTGTGTATGATTACTTATTCATTACAGTTAGGCCATACATACCCCAGGAACCCTTGCAAATGATATTGGCAATATTATTTATTTCATCATCCATTATAGAAAAACATGTTATGGTGCAACATCCAATATACTGTATTCAGAGCTGCCAGTAGCTGCACATTTACTTCTCTGAGTTGTTCTTTCTATATACCTGGTGCTTATTTTATGGTTATTCTCTTTGGGATTCCATTTACTCTTACACACAAAAGCTCAACATTTTTATTATTATTACTATGCCTCTGTCAAATCACTATTAATGCAGCACCCTCCATATACTACATCTTCTTTTACGTTCTTTGCAAAGAAAAGCACCACTGCACCAAACACCTCTTGTAAGCATCCCTTTCACACCGAACCGAATTATCATACAGAAAACAGCATTTAATGCAGCATTAATGACATGCTGGCAGTGAAAAGGGCCCACCTGTAAATGATGCATGCGCTGTTCCGACAAGTGTCACAATTTGCTGTGTCTTGTCCTGTTCGGTAGGAGAGCCTGTGAACAGAGAGATGAAAAGATATACGTGATCTCCAGTGGCAGACTTTAGCTTCATATTTTAACACCTGTGGGCATCAGCTATCAGCCAGATTTGTTCAGCTTGGTTTTCACCTTGTGTTGTTTATTCCTAACAGTTGAAAATGCAGCAGGAGCTCTGATCCTGCAGTCCTCTCAGATTTGGTTAATAAAGTGTGTAGACTTGCTGATTTTCCATAATAGGATTACCTCTCTTTGCCATGACATAGTTATAAAATACAGTATGTTCTGTGTCTCTATTCTATAGGCGATATAACTACTTAGCAACTAAAATGCTGCATGAATCATGTGTCATAAAAAATCAATGGCTTTACATTCTGCACTATACGGTACATCTTTTTTATTTTTCACCCAACTCAATTTGCTGCAGACAATGAGCATCAAGGATTCAAAAAAAGCAATCAACAAGACAAATTGTATCTGCTCTGTTTATGGCATAAGTACACAGCCACAAGGGTCTGTTGTCTTTACTGTGTAAGACTTGTAATTTTTTATGTTGAAAGACCTTCACAAAGGACCAACTTACAGTAAACTATCTCTTGGGGCACGACAGAAGCTTATGTGTACATATGTCAAGAACATCAAATAGATTTTGTTGGTTGTAGCAGTCCCTATCTCTCATATAGGCAGTTTTTCATTAATATTTCCTCATTTGAGTTTACATAAGAATGCAGGTGTTCATGTTGTTATCCGCACTTAATGTCACTGCATGTAGGCTGCAGTGGTATGGGGATGATTGGAGGGGCTGTGTTAGAGCTGCACATGTAATTGATTGCTGTCACGGTAGCCGTTCACCCTGTTGGATGACATGTGGAAGGGTTGGACCTCAACTGTTCACCATGACATGAGAGGTGACCTCATTCGGGGAGACAGAACAGCTTCTGTGCGATCGAAAATGCTGATGGGAGCTCAAGGTCACTAAGTTCATCTATCCTGCCCTGTTCTCAAATGAAGTCTCTTTGAACAGCTGTGAGCAAGGACAGTAACTCACTGCACAGACACGGTCTATACTAGTGCTTTCCTGCCTGTCTTTTCATGTACATCCTTGTAATTTAAAGAGCTTTGCTCTAATAATCAAAGTGTATTAACCTAAATTCATAATCACTCTGTGTACTCAGCACAAAAACACACTTTTTTTTTCTCATTTAGGGTAAAATGTTCATGACCCAATATAATGGCACTGTATTAAAGAACAGAATGTCACAGATAATTATTTCGTAGTTGCTTTATGGGGTGGGGGTGGGGGTGGGGGGGAACTACACCTCTGAAAGTCATTCTCTAAGCTAACTGTTTGTTGGCACAGATTCACTGCTGTGTTGTTTGCCCACGTCAGCTGTCCTGGGATATGTCCTGCCCTCGTCATTCCCGTTTCACTGTCCACACCCCCTGCCTACGTGCCTGCTGCTCTGCTTGCCTGAGCATTGCATAGTATTTTGTGCTTTGATAACCTGTGAAAAAAAACTACTGTCAGATCAGGCCACATTGTCTAAGGTCAGGTGGCATTCAATGCGTTACATATCACGTGAATACTGGATGTCATACATGATATATATATACAGCAGATACCTGCAGACTTTATTTTGTGATTAACATTTACTGACTATATGGTGCTGTACCATGACTAGCATAGGTAGAGACATTCATGTTTAACAGTATTATGGCAACACTATCAATACAGTATCAACTACAGTTGGCATTCATCACACTAGGACTGTTATATATGAGGTAATGCAAAAGTGTTGTCTGTCTTATCACTTACTTACAGTCCCGTTATTATATAATGTATAAAAGGATTAGGGTTATAAGATATATTCTATTATGCTGTGATTAAGAGACTAGAACAACTGTAATATTTATTTATCAATCATTATCAAGTGTCAGTGACTCACTTTTTCTTACGTTAGGAAAAAGAAACAGATGTCATGCAAATGCATTGTTTGTATTTCCTTTTTGCATCCAACATTAAGTGTGACTTCAAAATTGAGATGTGAAACAGATGACAAGCATGTGCATTATTTAGAGTTCCTGCTGTTTTTGTAGGAAATATTTGTCATGTTTGTAACTGACTCATGGGACATGTGAGGGAAAGCAAGAAAGAAAATGGGGAAGTATGCTATTTTGTAAAGTTATTTCCAATGTAAACAGTGAAGTGGAGATAACCCCGATAAATAAAATGCTTTCCTACAAACATTGTGCCTGTACTGTTGCTGGACCAGTAGATTACTTTATCCTTTTGTCACTGAATGTTTACTAAAAGCAGTTGCTTAAAAATCACTAGAAATCACACATTTATTCGCAGTGAGGACAGGCTTTTAGTTGCGTTTGGTTTGTCTCAAAGTATAGTATTAAAGAAGGTTATTTGACTGTCCAGCCGTGCAAAAAAATAGTGAAGCCTATTTGGGAACGTACTATGGAAGGCAGGCTTTGGGTTGTGTAACTGCACCTCTCTAATAACGCTGATGGAACACAACACAGTGGAGGCACTATAGCAGGCACAGTTTTGTGGAGATGAAAGGCAAAGTTTTATGGGGCTGCACTAATTGGGCCTTTAAAACCAAGTTTCACAGAGCCACACTAGGGTGCCTTGTTCTCCACTGGATATGGATAAGACTTAAATGTAATTTGCTTTGTGTTGCTGTGGGTTTTAGAGATGGAGTACATTTATTCTTACAGTTGTGCTGTTGTAGGAGTCTGGCTGCAGACATGGCTTGAGACCTTTATGAAGCTTGTTAATGCGTTTTCTCCTTTACAGGTTCTGTATGGCTCTAATGAAATATGACAAATAAAGAGTTATTGGAGGCACAGTTGCTCTTCCATCAAAATTACACAGGACATTACTAACATGTATTGTACTATGTCTTTGAAACGCCCCATTAGAACTTGATGTTATAGGACATTAATAAAATAGTAATGCTCAGACCTGTGTCACCAGCAGATTAAAGTTTTCATTTATTCAGTTAATAACATTTACTTGATAGATTTGCACCACATTTTGCTCAGATATTCATGGTTCCCAGAAGATGAAGCTTTTGATTTTGGTGATGTTTCTTCCAGTGCCACCTGAAGTTGACTTTTTTTATTTTACTTTTATTTAAATATCTAAACAACTGTAAGATGGATTGCTGTAAAAACAGATACAGACATCTATGAGATACAGAGTATGAATTAAAAAGACTTTGATCCCCTGACCTTCTATATAGCGCTATCATGAGATCAAAATTTATGTTTCAAGTTTACAATGCAACAGCCATCAGCCTCAGTTGTACTACCCTAACCCTGTATTTTTGGTGTGTTGGCAAGTGTTAGCATACTAAACTAACTAAAAAAACTAAAAAAAAAACTGCTAAATATCAACATGCTGTCATTGTCACATGTTAGAATGCTACTGTAAATTGGAAAGTACTGCTGTGCCTAAGTACAGCCTCACATTGTCACTTGCCTGGATGTAGACTCATGAAGCATAATCCCTGTCTTTTACAACTTGGTTTTTATTTTTGTAGCTTAAGCCATCATTGTTAATGCGCTTACCAAGTTAACTGCTGAAATCAGAGAATACAGTGATATTTCTACAAATAAAATCTGATGAGGCAAGAAACACCAGCAGTCAGACAATCATACAAACAGCAAACAAGCCTTTAGCCAAAAACTGCCCATTGTAAGTATCCAAGTGACCAAATTCCTTTGACCTACTATACTTGTTGTACTTTAATGATGGACGATTATTTCCTTGGTGAAAGTGTTACATTAACCAATAGAAATTAAGGCTACAAAATATGTTGCAATAAACTGACATCCTCGGACAATACACAGTGAAATGTGCATAAATGTACAGTGTATAATGTATGTTTGGTTGTAAGTACTGTAAAGCTTACTCTACTCACCCCTCTCTCTGTGCTTCACCTTTCTCCAGCTCCTGAATAACTCCAAGTAGGACCTTGATGGTCTCCTGGCTCGAGCTGATGAGGCTCTCCATGGCCTGCAGCTGTGCTTTGATATCCTTGTCTCCAGATAAGGGCATTATCTGCTGACTGCTCCCCATGCCTGGGGCTTCTGTGTCTCGTGGAGGAAAGCCCTCATTCCCCCCAACTGTTTGCTGGAGTTTAGAGGAGGCTGACACATGCCTTGTCCGAAACTGCCCTTGTGACTGTACAGAACATTTGGCACTATGGGGAAGTGTCTGTGACTGCTGTACGTTTAGCTGCGTACCCTTTTTCCGTTTACAGCTCACAGACGGGCTTCCTAAAGACTCCACCTGTGTCAAAGAGTTCCATGCAACAGGGCCAGTGCCCTTTGACTTGTCCTGTGAAAACTCTGAGTTAGCCAGCTGGCGCTTTGAGGAAGGGCCAGCATCCATGTCTTCTTTGGGTAATCCTTTGTGTTTGGTCCTTGTCCCACAAACCTGGTACTCTGGTTCTCTTTTGGAAGGAGAGCTGCGTGGATGGCACTCCTCCGAGAAATGTGACTCTGGACAAGAGGGTCCATCCACACAGTTGGCACTGGAAAGCAAATCCTCTGTATCACTGCTGTCATCAGTGTGGTGAAGCAGTGCTTTTGTCTGCCCCACAATCTTACCCTTATACTTAGAGGACTCCCCAATAGGTTGTCCATCCTCGCCTCCCGCTTTTATATCACTCAAAAAACCATTGTTTTGTCCCCTGTAATCTTCCACCAAAGCAGTATGTTTAAATGTATGTCCCTTTTTCCTCTCGAAAGGGAAAGTCTTGTATCGCTTAGTGAGGTCCGGTGAGGTCTGGACCCCAGTACTCTTGGTTACGTTTGGAATAGAGCGTCTTGCTGGCATGGTCATGTATTTTCTGTGTGTCACTTTACAGGAAATGGACCTGGAGCGTCTTCCCCGATGCTCATTCTGAGCGTCACAGATATCCTTAAAACGCACCTGTAAGGCCTTGTTTCTCTTCTTCACCTGCTGCTTGCCTGATTCTGGTCCAGACTGGGCATCAAGACTGTGTGATGGGCCTGTTTCTGAATCTGATTCATCTGAATTTGAGAGAACAATGCATTTGGTGTCCTCTTTGCTCACCATATTTCCTGAAAAAGGTAAAAGAGAAAGTAAAAGAGTCTGTATGTTACTATGTTATCGAGTGGGAAGGAATTCAATCTATGAACACTCTATGAATAAGCAAAATACTGTAGCAGATAATCAGATTCTATTCTCCATATGGGAACACAACTTGTACATTATCAGGCTGTATTAAAGGCATGATCTGTGATCAAAAATTTAAAACACAGTATTTATTCATACACATGGTGACAAATTATTGATTGGGATGTTCTGGAAGTGTTTTTTCCCATTCTGAGTTCATCCATTTTAAATGTCTCTTATAATGATATCCTCAGTGTTGCGCAACATGGAAACAAAGGACTGTCCTGGATAAGTATCTACAGGTTTATGTTATGGCCCCCACTTTTAACTATTGTAACCTTTTTTCCCCTGAGAAATCATGTTTTGTCTGTCATTGTAGCATGGCAGATGGTTCTACTACAGAAACCATGAGCAATTGTGAAGCAGCCAGAGTGTCAAATGACAGCAGCGGATTCAAAAGCGGATTCAAAAGGTTTCATGCCATAGTCACTGAATTTCTATATTTATAAATCAATTTAAGCTGCAAAATAATCTTTATCTTCCACCTGCCTTGAACTGTACACCTAACAGAATTTTAAGCTTTGTGATTAGATGTTTCTTGGCCTTTGACGTTTTTTTGTACACAAAAGCATGAACCCTCAACTTTTTAATAAAAGAACCAGACATTTACTAACACAGTTGTTCACAGTTTTTTTTCTTTACTAATGATTCTAGTTTGTGTGCTTGACAATATCAAAACTACAGGAATAACAGGGCTGATGTTATTACTTTGCCGTAGATGTGATTGTGAGTGACAACTTCGAGTAGCAGACCTTTTTTTTCTTTTGGCTTTTGCTTTACAAATACATTGTGACACATTTATGTTATTGATTTATGTAGTGGCAAAATAGTAATACCTGTGTTTCAGTATTATAAGCGTTTGGGGCCCAGTTGTTTTTGTGGCTTATTTCCCCCTTGGCTGATGTCATTTTTTGGGTTTCCTATTGGATCACTACAAGCTTTGGTCTCTCTTGGAGGGTAATTGTGCACATTAGCTTTTGTGATTTAAACACGACTGCTGCCGTGCACCCAGCCACTTAGCTTCATGGGAAAGTCTCTTTTGTCGCTCGTAGGAGAGTTACATTTACATTTTGTTCACACCACATTCAGCTATACATTAGGGAAACGTTCCAACTCAAACAAATGGGTTTATGTGACAGCTCGCTTTACTGTTCTTCATATCATAATTACATCTGAACTGCTGAGCTCCTGTTCGCTGCTCTGCACTGATACACTCAGCCACGCTCATGGCCAACCTTAAGCTTACTGTATATCCACCCACTTATGGTCATCTCCTTATCAACATAACATTTCCTCAGATATATTTTTGTAAGCTTTCTGCGTTTAGATTTCTTGACAGTGTTTTCCACACAATGGTTTGTTTTGTTAAGGAATAGCTGTGGGGTGGTTGGTGCCTTGCCAACTAGTAGAAAGTGTTTACTATATAATATATTCCCCTTGTAGTCTGAGGTTCCTAGCAGAGGAAATGACCACACAGCATTTCTGGCCCACACATGCTAGACTCTACATAAAAGCTGGTGTTAGGCTCCTCCACCCGCATCCACCTGTAGGCTCCCTAGAGGAAAATTTCTAAACATCGCTCCTCAATCTCTGCTGTGATGAGGTCAGAGCCTAGACACAAAATATAAACTGTGCACATACTTCCATCATAAATCTGTTCCACGTAAGTTGACTGACTGAACTGACCTTAAACTTTAAATGTTTACAGATTACTGTTACAACTTTAAATGAAAGGCTGCAAAGAGTTTGAGAAACAAACGGCTCACAAAGACATTTTCTACCATAAGTAATTTAATATGAATGGCATGAAATCACTTGAACATATCTGCAAATGAGAAACACTTTTAGAACGTGAGTAAGTAAACTTTATTTGTATAGCAGTTACATATTGCTTCACAGTTAATAATAAAAATACATAATAGTACACAGCATGAAAAAAAAAGTGTTAAAGTCTCCAAAAAGTGTTATTTTCTAACAACTATTTTAGCATACTGTTTATAATAAAATACATATATAGTTTACAAAAGAGTTTAATGGTAGAAACTGAAAAAAATGCTTTGACACATCTGAACCATAGTTGTTTATGATCACCAAATCATTCATAGATCCTCAATAAAATTATAAATTCTTGTGTTGCACTCTGGTTCAAATTAATGTGTTTCGTTTATAAGACATTTAACTACCAACATACTAATGATGCACCAATCATTAATCATTACCATAGTTTAAATCAGTTTTAATGTCATGTCAAGTCTTTTCTTCATTTTTATATATTTCCAATGAAATAGCTTGATTTATATTAAAATTAAATCACATCTGTTGTCACATACACAATCATAAATTGTATTGAAATTAATTCCCTGTATTTAACCCATCCTAATCATCAGCGAGCAGCTCTAAGCCTCTAAGCCTTGGTCTGGGGCACTGACATTACCTGGCATACATGTTTGTGATGGTGGGGGAACGAAGCACCTGTAGGAAACCCATACAAAGACTGGAGAACATACTGCCCCAGCCAGGATATGAACGCAGGTACTTCTCACTGTGAGGCAACAGTGTTAACCACTGAGCCACTGTGCTACCACTGTGTAATAAATCACAAACTGCTTTGATCACACAAAGGAGCTAAAAATTACTTTCATAATTGTTGTTTGTTTATAGTCACTCTCCATGCAGAGTTTTCGAATTAAGGTCCATATGATCAAATGAGAAATATTGCATTTTCTGTCTCATCTGCGATGAAACACATTTCATAGCTAGAGCATGAAATATATCAAGCAGCACAAGGAAATTAAATGATGTCTGATATCATTGACAGAAAACATCAGAAAGAGCTGGTTAATCATTTTCATATGACAAGTCACCACGCAATAAATAAACTCCAATGAATCATTTATTACCACTCAAAAGCGAGCTATTCATGGTGTTGCAGCTTTTCTGAAAGTAATCATGTTTTATCATTCAGAGACATTGTAAATCCATCAATGTGATTGTTCTGGTGGGGAAATTTATACTGAACAGACATTTCCTTACTGTCAGTTTCTCTACTCACATGAAATTTGTGAAAGGAAATGCATGGGTAGATTAGATTAATGTTCATTTCTGATCTACATCTGCAGTGCTTGAAGAGTTCCAGTGACCTAAAGACTAAATATGTAAAGTGCACAAAAGCATGACTAACTGAATAGAATACGCACTTTGTAATGATGTTTTTTTTTTTTTTTTTTTTGTATTTGAGCAGTATGTATACATGTTGGTATATCTCTCCCTCTCATGCTCTTAGTGTGAGTATTAGTGTGTATGGGCCTTGTTGTCACCTTTTCAATTGAGAGGCCTTGGCTAGCATCTTAAGGAGCGTGTGCACAAACAAAGACACACACACACACACACACACACACACACACACACACACAAACAGCAGACAAGGACTGATAATAAAAAGCATGCGGTTGTATTTCACGGGAGTCCTGCCGCGTGTTTCACCTTGCAGACTGTCCACTGTAACCTCAAACTGTTGATGAAATGGAATATATTTAGGCAGCAACAGTGTTTCATCCAGCTTCCTATTAATGCTCGGAAAAAAACTGCAGGCCAACAGCTTCTAGTGTCACTTCAGTCACTGCAATGCATTCAGTGCCAGATGAGAAAAAAAAGCCCTGAAACAAGCAACTAGCTCAATATCATTATACACAAACAATATGGTACGCTGTGTCATGAATTTACACACAGTTGTTTTGGATATTTGGAGCAGCTGAATTTTATTGGGGGTGGTATTTGTTCTGAAACATAGCTTAGTATGCACTTTGATTTTAGCGTAAGTTGTTTGTCAGAAGCGGCTCCATGGATAAAAAGAATTAGTTCAAGGCTGATTCACATGGGATCATACTATTTCACACTCAGAAATACCAATCTCACACCACTGAAAAGGTAATCACATCTGCAGGAAGTCTCCTCTAGGCGCATACAATTTCCTATGCAGTCATGTAAGGCATGTAAAGCAGCTAAATGGTAATTCACACAACAGCTCTACACTGACTTATTATTGTTGGAAGTCAGATGCACAGAGAGTGAGAGCGAGATGAAAGACAGGCCGACAGAGAGACTGATGTGACACATGGATATATTCAGATGTTTGACTGCGAATCTCTTTTGCCTCGTTGTCTTCTTTCTCCTCCTCCTCCTCCTCTTCTCAAAGCGAGCTATATCTCTGCTAATGACCTGAGGTCCTTCCCTGATTTGGCCTCAGCTATCCAAAGGATTATGAATAATGCATTGACTCTAAAATTGCAAAAGTAATCCTCTGAAATCTCCTTATGTACCCTGGCAGACCACGTTGTCGGTTGCAATTGCCCTTCAGTTCTTCACGCTAAAATGCTGCATGTATGAGCAAAAAAAAAAGCACCTATAGCAAGAGTTTCATGATTGATTTATTATGACCACAGTGTTGTAGAAACGTGTTTTTTTGTAAAGAATGTTAATGGGGGGGGGGGTTGGATGCAATAGCGGGTCTACAACACTGCTGACTCATGATTTATGCCCCATCGCAAAGCAGAGAAAAAGAGACGGCTTTGCTTAGATTCCCTTGCATCCTTGTCAGCCAGCGTCAACGCAATAATTACTGAAGTGCATCTGTGGGATATTTACATAGGATAACACTGTCTAGCCACTCTCATTAATGGTTAAGTGATGTTATTATGGTGGCCTCCCACTCCTCAAACATAGTAACCTCCACTCCACCATCAACACAAACTGAGTGCATCATAAACATGGAATGTTCTTCAATGGTACAGCTCATCATTTTAGTAAAAAAAACAAGGGTGTTTGCTCTTCGTTATAGGTTGATGCTACGCTCATCAAGATGCATTCTACCGTATGCATTGTTACTGTACATTGTATCCACATTCTTTGAGGATTGTCTCCTCATTATTTGCAAGTGACATTGCACCAACTATGCCTTCCTTCGCACAGAGTAAAGGATGTGATAATAAGGTATAACGCATAAGATTATACGTGTGTGAAGTCATATGCATTCCTGTACTGCGCAGTGGTACTGTGTTCAGCCCCTACACATTTTGTGTTGCAGTAATCTTTCTATCAATACACCATGAAGCTCTTCTTTCTGCAACAATGTAAACCCCCTTGGTCTAAGATTTTTATATTGTCTTTTGTTCCATTTTTGAGAACAATCCCAGCCACTCAGCTCCACAGTCATGCAAGACACACACATACACGCACACCATCTTATTCCAGCTGTCGTCCAGAGCTATCTGTATCTATCCGGGCTGCCGGCTACACCTGTGAAAGTTTGCTTTATGACATTGGCTTAAAAGATTTATCACTGAGCAGCACTTTCTGTTAAGGGGAATAGTTGGAGGTTTTAAAAAAGCTCCCATCCCTGTATCTCCTGGATGAGAGCACTGGCTGTGAAATGGATCCTTGGGAAGAGTACGTTTGGAGAGGCTGATATGCAGAAGGGCATTTTGGGGTTTTTTTTTGTGATCACACGCTCTATTGCTAGTGTGGATCCCTTTTTGTATAAAATAATGGAGAAGACAGACTCAGTCTTTAACACTTTAGAGCTCACATCCATAGTGCATCACCCTGATGAATTCATTGATTAATAAGGGGTTGGGCTATGGGCATACATGTGTACTCAGGTTGAACTGATGATTAACTTGGGTGTAATGGAGAAGATGATTTATGTGTGAAAAGTATGCTGAGATAGACAAGCTACAGTGGGTTTGGCACCTTACAGCTGTACCCCGTCTGTGTTTCCTGTAAATTCAAGTAGTCAAGGAATGACGTGTAGAAAATAGAGGGAAGGGGGGGGGGCACCGACTGAGAGCAAATATAAGTGCAGCTCTGTATGTGATGCAGTACCCTAGAGCTTCCTAGATCACACATGTCATTAGTCATGATAAGTCTGAAACCACCTTTCATCAAATTCAGCCTTGAGGAGGACATCACTCATCTCATCTGAATTTATTATATATTCTATGCCAATTAATACGATAGGTGTTTTCCAATAAATGATCATCATTCCGACAGTCTATTACAATACAATATACAATACCAAAATAGTCTATTAGTGGGCGCTCATCAATATTCTTCACTATTGAGCCCAGACAATTCACAAGTACAGCAATCTCGATAATCAGCGTTTGCCTCATCAGATAAATACTGCATGCCAGTCAAAGGCTGCAAAGACACGCATTATGATATAAGTATATAAATCAAAGTCGAATTACATCAGCATGCAACATTCATTTTCAATTGGGACCAAAAAAACCTTTGACGTACTCTCTTATTAGTCATTAAACCTGTCAATGCTTGGATGCAGAAATGCCCCCTCCCTTATTTATCCATATCTAATGTATGCTGGGATCATACACAAGCACGAATCACAAACCTAAGACTTTTAACAGTATTTTATCAGAATTAATGCATGCTTCTGATACCCACTTTGATTCAATTAAGATGTGAAAAGGCAGACCAGATGAATCCCACACTCTTTTTGCAATACCTGTGAATATGTGCAACTCCAAAAAAAGGAAGCATAACTCTTACCTTGAGAAACAGATCAGAGGTGCAAAGGACAAGAAAGCACAGATCCCCTGTAGAACCAGTGTTCATCCATGTAGTCAGTGGGTGCCAAGGTACCGTCCAGCCACTGGAGCAGCTCTCACAGGCTGCGGGAGGACAGAGAGACAGGCAGCCGGTGCAGTGACAGCTGGAGTAGTTGTGACACATCCGGCAAAGATTCAGGTTATCGGGATGGGAGAGGGAAAAAAGCAGAAAGACATTGCCTCAAAACCTCATCAGGTCTTCAGTGATATCCTCCTCCTGTTTTTTTACTCTGCTCTCTCCCCCTCTTCTCCCTTATTCACCTCATTCAAGCATCACTGACACTCATTCGCTCTTGTCCCTGCACTCACCGGGAATAGGCACTCACACACGCAGCGGAGATCTCCATCTCGCGGTGCTGCTGCTGTTGCTGCAATCCCTGTGCATTCGTGATTGTGTGTATGTGTGTGTAAGAAAGGCAGGGAGAGGGTGGGCTGGTGGGTGGATGGGTGGGTGGATATGGCAAAGGGAGGAAGAAGGAAGAGGAGGAGGAGGAGGAGTGAGGGGTAGTACGCAAGCTGCTGGGGAAAGTCCAGAGTCGCTGAGCTGCATCATCGGCGAAGACCCCCTCAACTTGTCCTCCACAGGCTGGCTCTGTTGACACTGAGCTGTTATATAATCTGAAGGGCTTCGGGAGACAGCAGAAAGGGGGAGCTGTAAAATAATAATGCATTGTGCTTTTAATTGGATGTCTACTGCCCCCCCATTACTTTCATACATCTTACACATTGTTTATGAGAGGTAGTGAAGGGGGCTGAATTGAGCAAAGGAAAAGAGAAGAGGCTCTGTAGCTGCACAAAGGGGGGAAGAGAGGAGACGAAGAGCCAACAGGGCAGCAGTGTTAATGAGAATCTGAGACGAGAGAGAAAATGAAATGAGGAGAGGGAGTAATAGAGACAGTGAGATAGATAGAGAGGCACAGAGAGGAATGTGCACTGGAAAGCGGGGAATATTGATTTTGTGGATGTCTTAAATATCTAAGATTGCTCTAAATTTCTTAGAAGTTCATGGCTTAATGATTTATAAAGTCCCGTTATAACAGAGAATGGGCATTATAATAAGAACACCTGTACTGTCTAATGCAAGCAAGTTCTGCAATACATTTCTCAAAGGGGGAGAGGGTGACCTGCAACAAAGAAATTCAATAACATATTGTTATCTTGTGGGTATAAGGGCTATATTTTGCACAAACAAATTGCACAAAATCATACTGCAAAGAAGTTTTTATCATGTGAGAAAAAGTTGATACATCCTTTTGTCTTGGTGTTACTTTATATAGCTACTACTAAGTTTAGATCTTTGCATCTCAATGATTTTTTTTAGGAATGAGTGAGTACACTATCATCTGTATCTGTATCTGTATCTCTATCTCTTCAACCAACTAAATGATCTGTAGCCTATTTGTATATCATACTCTGAATTTGCGGATCTTATAGTGGATGTAGGCGGAACTTAAATATGAAGTAAGTTGTGATAAGCAGAAGTTGTTCATTTAAGCCTAAAACTGGGTTGATCAGTAGTTACTATTGAAACTATTTACAGAATTGACCTTCAGAGCAACAGTCTTGAGTAAAATAACTATTTACAAAACACGTTTTTCAAAATATTTATGAGTACGGATATCAGGGTTTCCCGCAGCACTTTGTAGCCTTAGCAACACACGCCTGCTGCCTTAACTACGTCGTCGTCAAAAAAAAAAAAGAAGGCCGAGTGATATGAGCAATATAAGCGATATCCGCTGTGTTACTCTATCCTGTTTTCTCCCTTTCAATGCCAGTCTCCCTTCTCCGCAGAACGCATTAAAAAAATAATGAAAAACGTGCCATGAATCGGAAAATAATCAGTTTTTATAATCTTTAAATATGTGATATGCCTCCGAATTGTGTGATGCATCCGAACAGCGCCATCTCATGGTTGTCATCTATCATCGTTCGCCAAACATTCTACAACATTCTTTATCCGGGTAAAAAGAAAACATTTTTTGTTTCATATCTGAAATTATTATGATAGGCGTAATGTTTTCTTATCAAGGCTAGTTGGGTTTACACGTGGTTGTCTTATAGCTATACGTTTGATGATAGCTCGTGATTTTCTCTCGCATTGTACACAGCCAAATGGACAGAACAACGCAACCAAGAATTGGTCTGATGGCAACCAATAATTGTTTGACAATTAAAAAAAAAATCTGTACTGGATACCTTATGTTTTTCCCCAGTTATCTATGTATTTCAGTTTTAAGTTCTGCAGTTTGCTTTATTTAATGCTCCTGTGTATAGGATTTGGAGAGTATAGTGCAAATACAGGTTTTGTTAAAATTAAGTACTGAAAGGCTGCATCAGTATTGATAAAACCCCAAAACCTATACTCAGTTAGCAAACCAAAGATACTTAGATAATCTCAGGAGTTGGCAGACTAAATAAAGAGTAAACCAAGGTACCCATATAGTTTTTATTTGTTGTTTTTATTTTGTTCACAGGCAATATATCCCCTTATATGCATAAGCTATATGTATAATATGTATGTGTGTGTTTTTATGTATGCATATATATATTAACCTCACAAGTGGAAAAGAGTAAGAAGTAACTGTAAAACAGCTGGCAGTAAATTCAGTGAACTGATACTTTTAATTTCCTGGGGAGTCATACCGAGTTTCATTGTTTGGCACTCTCCTTCAAAAGATTGCCCCAGAGATTGAGAGACTGCTATAAACTAAATTCTTGCCAATGTACCTTTTACAGTAATAGTTGATTCAAGACCAAATTCTAGTAATTTACTGCAGAAAGAAGATTATAGAGCTCTGAAACCTTGAGTGGTGTTTCAAAGTCGAATTCATGTTTTAAAGCGCAGCTGGTTATGTCTGTCTATCTAACTTTAATTAACTTTAATTAGTTTAATTACTTTGGAGTTGGTTTAAGCTTGGATAGAGACACCAAGACTTCATCACAAGACCAACGTTTTACAACTCTTTGCTTGTGTAAGCAACCTGAAGCTGAATAGGAGAAAGGGTTTTTCAAAGGAGTTTTTTCTTTCAACAGTGAGGGGGAGCGGTAGCCGGTGCAGTGATCTGCTGACTGCTGTCTTATTGATTTAATTGTCTGTTTCCCTCCCAGCCCTGCCTGTTCATAGGTCTATGACGGGTTTCTGACTGCGCCCGCTGCATGCTTGCCGATCCAACCCGCCAAGAAACACAGCTCCCCCTCAGTCTCAACACCAGCTTAATCTCACTGTGCTTAATGAGTGGAACAACACACAGTTGACAAGTAGGGAAACCCCGCCCCTTCGCTACTTCCCTCAATCCCTTCTCTACTACGCCGCTTATTGACCTGCCAAAGGCTGTGATGGGAGTGTCCAGATTTATGCAAAAAAGCCCTCACTGCTCGCTGATGACTGTCAGCTTAACCATGCATAATGGTTGGATCCCTGAGGACAGCTTGAGCCTCTGGGCCACTGTACAAGCAGAGACTTTAAAGTGGTCATACCCCATTGAAATTGGTGAAATGTGTGTTTCAATGAAGGCTTGGAAAGTGAAAATGTGCGAATGGGAAAACAGCAGATGTTGCATAAAGAGAATGATGATGTTCAGACACAAACACTGTTCTATCTCTTCTAGTTGATTTCCCAATCTCTACTGAGTTTTCCTAAGTCTCTAAGGTGAGAGAACTGTGCACTGTCAAATGCTTCTTACAGATCCACAGAGCATCCCTAGGTGAAAGAGAAATGTTTGCATTAGCATATGAAACAGCCAAAGCAGTAAACATACATTTTTATCTTTTATCTAAATTATTCATGAGTATTTTCCCACTGTATGCAGCAAACACATGGGGATCAGAACAAGTACGATCACTGGATATAGCCATGAATAAACAAGGACTTTCTCACTGTGAGAGGTTGCTTCACATATCCTAACTGCACCTGCTGAGAAAAGTTTTTGGTGAATGATATTTGGAGCCTTTGGGACAAGTTGAACAGCATTGAACACTTATATTCTTATACTTCAAAGATACTGAACACAATGAGCACATTTAATGAAATCAGATAAAGTGATCACTGTAGTTTTAGTCATGCTAGTGAGGGATGGCAATGTCAGTCAGTTGGTTGGTCCACCACTTTGGTGCAGAAATATCTCTACAACTATCGCATGAATTGTAATTTGTACAGAGATCTCCAAAAAGATATATCTTATTGACTTTGGTGATCTCCTGACTTTTCCTCATAGGAAACATTTGGGACTTTCGTAGCAACTATTGAATGGATTTCCATGAAATGTGGTACAACTATCAAAGGCCCAGAGAGGATGAATCCTGAAAACTTGGTGATCCCTTGTATTTTCCTCTTGCACCACCAGCAGGTCAAACTTTTTACTTTTCCTATGAAATGTATCAACATTTACTGGATGGATTGGCACAAAATGTGCTGCTGATGTGCATGGTTGCCAGATGATGTATCCTAATCACTCTGATAATCGCTTGACTTTTCCTCAAATCGCTGTCATAAATAATTGTAATAACTTCCCACAACAGATGTAGCAGATGTAGCACCATCATCAGGACAAGCTGCAAAACTAATGGCATTCCCACCAACCTCAGCTGCACTTTGTGCTAATTAGCAAACGTTAGCATGCTAACATGCTAAACTAAGATGATGACTTTGGTAAATATTATGTGCAAAACATGAGAAATGCTAGCATTGTAATTGTAAGCATGTTAGCATGCAGATGTTATCATTCAGCTGAAAGCATTGCTGTGCTAAAGTAAAGGCACAAAGACCCTCTACCATGGATCTCTTCTAAACACTAAATACTCATACAGTCCAGAGTAATGGTATTATTTGTGACAATGGCAGTCATGGACACACACACATCATCCAACTCCCACTCCTAAAACATACACTCAGACATAGACAAGAAATGTACGCTTTGTTGAACACAGATGGTGGCCATTCTCCAAACTGCCATAATGTTAAATGATATTGTCCTTGTTAAGGAGATAACAGCTCTTAATGCATTGACTCCTGCTCTGTTTTTGGGAGTTTTTTCACAAAATCTCTCCAGTTTTATCCCAACAAATGGCATTAAAAACACAGCCCCATTAATCACTATTAATGTCTCTGGAAAATTGGCTTAACTATCTGTAAAAACTCCCACAGTGAAGCCAACGCTAATGCTCTTTAACTCATTTCCATTATACAAAACAGGCACGTAAACACGAAACAAATAATAAATGTAATATAGAATTGTTACATAACACATCATTTCCCTGTTGGCTGCAGATGATTTCTTGGTAACTATTTAATATGGAGTATAAACACAATGATAAATCAGGCATAATATATTTGTATTTTGAAGTGTAGTCTCAGTGTTATATAAATATAATCCAATTTAAAATTTAATCCT